CTATTCATCTTAGAGTTCTCATCTTTTTAGCTCTTACATCATCATTCTGGTGTCCATTAAACAATCTCAAAGTTGCTTTCTATCTATTATAATAGGGGTTGGAAAACCACTACCCTTGATCTGTTTTTGTAAGTAAAGTTTTATTGGACCACAACCATGACTGTTTGTTTATATATTGTCTTTGATTGCTTTCATGATACAAGGGCAGAGTTGAGTCGTTGTGACAGAGACCTTACGGCCTACAGAGCCCCAAATATTAACTCTCTGTTCCTTTACAGAGAAAGTTTGATTGTCCCTGCATTCTCTGCATGAAACATCTAGCCCAAAGGTAAAAGGTGGATACCTGGCAATAATTATTATAGAGGCCTTCCTCTCTGTCCATGCAAGCTACTTATTTATTCTAGCATCCTGCTGTTATTCTTTTTAGTACACATGCATTGGGCATTGCTTATATTGTATTATGCATGTTTGCCTTATCAAATGAATATTATAAAACTACTGTATAGAGACAGTTACAGAATTTTCTGTTGCAGGGGTTTAGGAACAACAATCTGTGTGGGAGAAAGGGAGCTGGGACTTACACTGGAACTGCATTTGCATAGGAAGCTCTCTGAATTTAGTTTGTTTATATTCTTATTTGGCTTGGTTTGGAAGTTGGTGATGAAGATTTGTGGGGAGACGAGAATATTCTCAAGCCAGTGCTCAGCTACCACTACTTTTGTGGTTGGCAAAAATGTGCATGTTTTATCACTTACATTCTCCACCATCACTTGCTTGAGCTTTCATGTCAGGTGCCAGTATTAAAATCATACCAAGAAAGATGCCTTTTTATCAGTCAGGAACTGACCCAATGTCTTATTCAGAGCAAATGTTGGTTGCATAAATATTTGTGATATCAAACCAGAGTTTTATTTTAATTGCTGAATTTCATTAACCCAATTTCTTCCTTTTGCCTGGGTCGGGATGGATCCTGACCTTGACAAGTTAAGTTTAAGTTGTGTTGAGCACATTCACCGCTCTTTTCTTTCTTCTAGGGCATCACTAATACATTCAAGTATCTCTGTATTTGTGACCATAAATTCTAATGGCATATGCACTTCTGTTTATTACCCTTGAAAACAATTCTATGACCAGTCATGCACACACTTTCATAAACAGAACTCAGGCCATGCTTTTCCTGGTGGTTGATCGGTGTGTAAAAGGGAAGATAATTCAAGACATCACAAAAAAAATGTGTATTGGATCTGACAGTATGCTTTCAGGTAACTCACCATGTCAAGGACTTTCAGATGACCATATGAGAAGACAATAGCATTGGGTGGATTTGCTACTGGTAGGAGGAATGCAAATGAAGTACAAAGAGTAGCAGGTATCAAAATTAAAAGAGGGTTCACTTGAATAGCTTCAGCCTGTTGCAAAAGACAAAAAGGAGTCTAAGTCAAATTTTGAGGCTAGGCACCAAACATCAAAATTAACAAATTTATTGTAATAAACTTTCCCAAAAGCAGGTTGAAACCTAATGGCATAAAATTGTACACATAATTGCAATTATAACTTGAAGAATATTTTCATAGAAATATCTATGAAAGAAATAAGAAAACATCCCTTCTTCTTGTTGTTTATATAGTTATTGATGCCTATTTAAACATTGTAGTCCAGTTCATTTAAAAAATAAACTATCACTTATTCCAGAAACTAAATAAAAACAGCAACCATTTATTATTGATCTGGTGCTAGGTGCTGTGCTAAATGTTTATATATACATATATATTCATATAGCTATA